AGCCGGGACCAACGGCTTAACGTGCCTTCCGAAGCACGGAGGAGCTCGAGATAGTAAATTTTTGGTCACTCATCCAATGACCGACCACTGCGAAAGTTGCTTAACTTCAACGATCGCAGCCGAACACGCTAGCCACCTGCGCCAACGAGCTCCTCATAAGTATAAGTATTAATAGCGACTCTTTTTTAAATTATGTATATTTTAGATCGTATCTACGTTTGTATAAATGTAAATTATGTATATTTTAGACAATTTTGTATAAATGTGTCTTGGTTCGTTATTTTTTTGTATAGCGAGGTAGGCAAATGACTCTGCCCCACCTGATGTTAAGTGGTGATAAAGTCCAAATGCGGAGATAGCTGGTACAGCAGTTAGAAACTGCCACACCAACCATCCTCACCTTGCCGGCCTGCACAAATGCTTCTTCACGCCTCTCTTAAAGGACCCCAGGTTGAAAGAAGGATGGGAGGCGGGCAAAGAATTCCACTTACGAATAGTACGACAAAGAAATGAGTCACCAAATTTATTTGTTTGTGTGGGAATAGTGGATATTAGGAGTGGGTGATACAAAACGTATATAGATATTGAATCTATATATTGGTGCAATATCTAAAATCCGATATCGGCTTAATCTGAATCTATATATATCGGGCGAAACACTATATTGCTCTATAACGCATATCCGAGGGCGAGTATGATGCTAGTCGTATCGTATTGAACCGATTTACCGAATAAACACCGAGTATACACGATGTGACACGATCTCTACCGACGAAATAACTTAGCAGCCGGCCGAGAGAGGGAGCGCGTGATTAATGAAACCAACGTAGCTTAATAATCCGTAGGTACTATTCTGAACCTTATGTCAAATGCAATAAGTCTGTTTGAAGAATGTTCTAGTATTTTGGCACGATTGTGAAAGGAATTTCAACTTTCAACTTTGTTCTAAAGTAGTAATGATGCATATTACATTACATAATATGCAACGATTTATTAACTTCGCGCATGACGCTTGGCCTTGAACTAGAGAGCGAAGAAATTTTAAAATTCTATTTTTAGTTTCGTGCTAGCAATTATTGAGTGAGCGCATTATTGTTGTTCCTCATTATTACTTATTTACGAATGTTTTGAAATTTATTTGATTTGATTTTCTGTTAATTTGTGTTAGTTTAGTATTTAAAACAGTTTAATTTCTTAACTTGTGTATTAATGTGTGTAGGTATTAAGGTGTAAATAAAATTTAAGTGTAAAAATTAGAGTAGGTACTTATATTGAAACACTTTGTGACTCGTGTTAAAAACTATTTTTAAAAATGTCTCGTATAAATTCGAGTATTTTATGGGACTATTTTGACAAAACAAATTTAGTCGACAAAAAAGCCAAATGTCGTGTTTGTGGTGACAGTTATAGTTATAAAGGTACGACAGGCAATCTAAAGGCACATTTAAAAAAAAAGCATTTAGATGCTTATACGAGAGTTGCTACCGGGCAGCAAGATATTAGGACTTCCCAAACTGCCTCAGCAGATCAGATTATTGCCGCAGATACATCTGCAACAGTGTCAACATCGGCTACAATAACTACGTTAGCAAACCCGACACCGTCAACTTCAACAGCAGCGCATCCAACAGTTTCACGCCCACGTCACGTAAGACAACAAGGTATAGAAAGATATGGCGCCCCTAAAAAAATATCTGGTGACTTGAAAAGAAAGATCGACAATGATGTACTAGATTTATTCATAGATAGTTATCACCCCTTTACATTAGTAGAGGAACGAGCTTTTAAAAAACTTATGCGCTGGATTCCTGGGTATCAACTCCCGACTAGAAAAACTATTTCTAACGTCATGATTCCTGCCTTGTACAATAAAACCGAAGAAACTTTAAAAACAACGACATTGGGCAGCATTGAACATTTGTGTCTTACAGCTGACTTATGGACATCAAGAGCCAATGAATCGTATTTGGCTGTTACCTGTCATTTTATCACGGAGGAGTTCGAGCTAAAGACCATCTTGCTGGACTGTTCTAATTTCGAGGATTCTCATACGAGTGAAAACATTCAGAGTGTGTTAACTGATCTAATAAGTAAATATGAATTAACATTAAACAAAATTAATTTTATAGTAACTGATAATGCGGCCAATATTCAAAGAGCGGTTACTAACATCGGTTGGAAGCATTATGGATGCTATGCACACACGCTAAACTTAATTTTACAGAATGCCATTACAAGAGAGCAGACCCTACAGTCCGTATTAGACAAAGTAAAAAAAATTGTGCGCTTTTTCAAAAAAAACAGCACCGCCTTAGAGAAATTATTAAAAGCACAAACTAATGACCAGCCAAACTGCGTACCAAAACGCTTGATTCAAGAAGTTCCGACGCGCTGGAACTCCAGCTTTCACATGATACGGCGTTTCGTGGAACTGGAACATTGCATTAGGTCTACAGTTGCAGTCATCAGAAAGGACCTTCCCATTATTACCAACGAAGAGTGGTTGCTACTTGCCGAAGTCACAAAAATATTGAAACCGTTCGATGATGCGACAGAATCGATGAGCGGCGAAAAGTATATGACTGGTAGTTCAGTCATAGTCATGACACGGTGTCTAATAACATCATGTGACAAACTCCTGGACGAAGAATTCTGTGATGTATCTAAAGAGCTAATTTACACTTTAAGGACAGGACTAATAATCAGATTCTCCAATCTTGAAAGAAGTGGAACATTTTCGGTATGTACATTTTTAGATCCTCGATACAAACTGGCTGTCTTTTCTGACGAAAATGAAATTAGAAATACTAAAAAACGAGTTCAGGACTTACTAAGTGGAATTATAGCGCAGGAGAGAGCGCAAGAACAGGCACCCGTCTCGGCATCTGAGGACCACAACAATGCTGACAAGTTTTCCCCATGGACAATTTTAGGTGAAATAGTGGGAAAAAAACAAAATGTCGGGACACCGGTGTCAAAAGCCATTAAAGAAATAGATGGCTATTTGAATGACGACCTATTGCCAGTTTTCACAGGAACTACGTGGAATTGCCCTCTCGAATGGTGGCGCAAACATAGGTTTACGTATCCATATTTGGCGAAACTGTTAAAAAAATATGGAAACATCATGGCGACGTCAGTTCCATGCGAGAGAATCTTTAGTAAAACGGGACTAATTATAAATGATCGTCGCACTCGACTGACAACATCAAAAGTGAACCAGCTCGCATTTTTAAACGTAAATCTGGATGAAAACAGATTTAAATAAATAATATTTTAAACTACCCAATGCTAAACAATAACGTAAATAGTTAAAAATGTAAATAGACAATGTAAATAGTTAAAAATGTAAATAGACAATGTAAATAGTGTAAATATAAAAAGTTTGTATATATCATCAAATGAACTGTTAAATACGCCTGCATTATTTTATCGGTCGGCACCTACATTTAGGTATAATTTATTATAAAACTTTTCATAACAGACAATAATGCAGCCAGTCCTAAGCCTGGTAAAAGTATGAAGGACAGTTCATTAGATGACGATTGTATGTTTTCTCTAACTACGTAATAGGCTTTTTCATCACGTGAAATTAGTGATGTTTGGAAACTTCAGCTAAGTATCTAGACAAAACCGTTGTTTGTAATTTAGCTCCCTAGAGATTATAAATCGTGTTACGATATTTACAATATCGCATACCTAGGTGGTTCTCACAATATGCTTTATGGAACGATACAACATCATGAGACGGATTATGCGTATCTGTAAATATATAGTTTCAGAAAATATATAGTTTCAAAATCCAATATCAAATATCAATATATAGTTTCGATTTGATATTGTGAAAAAGCGATATTACCCACTCCTAGTGGATATGTATAACATATATAATATTTTGTCATTACGACTAATTTAATTGTATTTATATTAAAATCTCGGCTATTTACTTAATTTTTTAGTACGTGGGAGTAGTAGGAGGATGCTGTGCAGGTTCGCCGCCGCCAAAAGAACAATGCAGTTGTACTTATTAAGAGTGAAGAGCAGTTCAAGACCGAGAAAGAATCAATATAGCTTATTCCTTGTCTGTACAAAATTTGATCTTAGACTATATACAATTTTCGAACACAAAGGCAAGCGTGATTCAAATGACAGGCAGCGCCATCTAGTAATGACTATCGGAACTAATTAAATAACGTTGTTTGAATGTATGTTTAAATGTTTGTGTGTTACAATTTTAAATTAGGTACGGGAATGGAACATTAATAGGCTGATCATGAATCATATAATCACAGGTATGGTTAACGATTTATTCATCTTCAATATCTTGTTTCATACAAATGTCTCTTATATCTAAATATTAATAGATTCCGTCCAAAACATTAGGTATTACACTATAATCACATTATATTAAAAAAGTTAAAGTATTTCAATACTTCAATATTGATTAAGCACATTTATAACCAGGTCTAGAGAAAATTCTATTTATTACTTAATTTAAGAAACGTGTCATTTTTTACCTTGACGACAGAATAAGGGGCTTAAAAAAAAATAACAGAAAAACCATCGATCGAGAGCGAAATTTGTATGGAAAAATTAATTATCACTCATTGCCGAGTTTCTTGCCGGTTTTTCACACATGAGAAAGGTTAGAACATTTTCAAGAAAACTACATTGTTAAAATGTTGTAAACTATCAACACCATTAATAATAAAAACAGATTGAGTGGCCAAAAAGTTATACATTGATTGCTACTTAAAGCTAAAGATTTAATGCAAATTCAAGTGTAGGCTTTTACAAGCACATGTGAAAGTCGAAAGCTACGCCATCGGTTCGCAAATCTACGGCGGGAGGCTTTGTACTGAGAAGAACCGGCAAGAAACTCAGCAAGGGCTGCTTTCATCTCTTGATCATGATCAATAAAACTTTAAAATTGGTCGATGAAAGTGTAACATTGATGAAAGTGTAACATTGATGAAAGTGTAACATTGATGAAAGTGTAACATTGATGAAAGTGTAACATTGATAAAAAATGGTAACGCAGTCAGCTTATTTCTTCGTCTGTACATGTTATTTGTAAACAAATTAAGTTAAATTTCCGTTGCACGATGCATCGGTACTTTTCATTCAAAAACAATCTTTCTTTCTTTATTTAAAGGTCGCAATTAGGTTGATTTAGTTTCGTTAATGCTTCGTGTTATCCTGACGTTTTCCGGGTAAATATCTGCAAAAGAGAAATAAGAAAATATGAAAACCTTCATTCGTGGTGCAGCAGTTAAAGGGGTACTTTACTCTCTGATGGTATACAAAAAATATACAATGGTGTCGATTCTGGCATGATTCTCTAAACCTAAACTTAAATTTGACAATAGTGTATCCTTGTCAGTATCTATACAGAATGAAAAGGAGAGACTGATGTTAAAATTAGCTTTAAGTTTAGAGAATCATGCCAGAATTGACACCATTACTATGGTTTTTAAGTTTCTTAGAAAATCCGAAAGCGTCGCCACGATTCTGGACTTTTATTTTTTAAATTATCGGCGCGTATCTATAGAATAAATGACTTTGAAGTTTGATGTAAGTGTATGTGATTGTGTGTCAGACATACCGTAAGGAATGTCTCTGCCCAGCCGAGGCGAGAAACTGACAGCTGACCTTCCGAGTCGGGGCGAGAAGAACTTCGTTCTTAAGTCCTTCTGTTCGGGGTTTGGCTTGTCGCTAGAAGAGAACGGAAGAAGATTATACAAAAAAAAGTGATCGTTAATTAGGATTTATCCTAATTACAAGATATTATTGTCCTCGGAATCATCATCAGAAACACCGCATCAGAAATGATGTAATCCGACAGAGAACCAAAGTCACCGACATTGCCCGCCGAATTAGCAAACTGAAGTGGCAGTGGGCTGGTCACATTAGCCGCAGAACTGATGGCCGTTGGTAAACGTAGTGTAGGACGCCCTGAGACAAGATGGGATGACGATATTCGTAGGCTGGCTGGAGTGGGCTGGATGAGAGTAGCACAAAATCGTCAGCAGTGGCGTGCATTAGGGGAGACCTATGTCCAGCAGTGGACGAACATGGGTTGATGATGATGATTGTTCTCGGAGAAGGACAACAAAATTTTGTATTGAAAATAAAATTTAAAGTAGGGGAAATAAGGGTGGAAATTATGATGAGAATTTAGTTAGAGACTTTGAGCAACTTTCGGATCGGCCTTTAAAAGGATTTGTGACCAAGAATTTAATATCTCGAGCTAAGCGTGTCTTCCAAAGTCTTAGGCTAAGAACTCACGGAGAGCGAGCGAGCAACGACGATTTGTAGCGTGTGGCGGCCACCGGCGTACCGTGTGTGGCTAGTCCATATAAAATGTATGAAAACTACAAGAAATATGCCGGTGGCGGCGTTTTGTGGTTGTGGTCGGTGGCTCGTGTGTGGCGACACTTATAACCGCACCGCCTAATGTTAGGTTTTTTGCAAACAATTTTTTTTATGATATTGTGTAGCTCTTCACATCTTATATTAAGTGACGGTAGATGGTAGCATTAGTTTCATCTACCAAACCTGTTGTACAAATCAACCAAATCGTCCAGGGGTCCAGATTTGAAAATAGGAATCACACCTTTGTTGAATTGAACCCAAATTAATATAATTTTATCTTAAAATCGGCAACGGTGAAAGACCACGCGCATTTGGCTTAGATCAACACCCTTCATAGTGATATTTCGTGAAATTATCCGAACTATCCCCCCCGTCGAGCTTTACGTGATTAATGAACGATTTCTTGCTTCTTCACACCTCCTTAAAAACCTTATTTTTGTCTGGGAAATGCCTTACGTATCCTTCAACCACCGGGGGAGCGAGACGATTGTATGTGGGCCTCCTCACGCCCTGAACAGTGCCACTAATAACCTTCTTAAAATCCTGGGTTGGAAGGAAGGAAGGATATATAAGAAGGAAAGAATAAATAATAAATATTTCCAACACTCACACCAATTAGCCTAGCCCCAAAGTAAGCACTATAAGGCTTGTGTTATGGGATACTAGGGTAACGGATAGAATACATATACTGTACATATATAAGTATATTTATATAGAAATACATATTAAACATTCATGACTGGAGTACAAATGGTCGTATTCATCACACAAACATCTGCCCCCACCGGGATTCGAACCCGGGACCTCTCGAGTCGGCGACGCCATGAAACCCGGCGTACTAACCACTCGGCCATGGAGGTCGTCAAAGAAGGAAGAAGAAGGAAGGAAGGATGGATATATAAATGGACAAAGTTTACTTACTCTTCTTGATCCGGTTGTGTGACTGCGAACATTTCTGGGAGTCTCCTGCCAAGGCGTGGAGTAAATTCTACATTCTCGAATCCTTTATCGTCTTGGTACATCTCATTCACGCTCCTACCCAACTTAGGGGTGAAGTATACTTTCCAGCCTGTCAAACATAAGGGACAGTTTAAAAAAATAATTTAAATGACACATGAAACAAACACGGGCAAAACGATCTTTACGCTTTAAAATCAAATAACAAATGCCTCGGCAACACTTTTCATACGTAAAACTGTAAAAACCTGTCGTGTAAGGCGGGTCGTTGCGTTCCCTAAAAATGGTTGAGCGAAGCGACGGCTGGTTCATGCGTCATGCTCGTGAACGGGTGCTGCCAGCGGAGATGAGTCTACTCTTAATTCACTGGGTACTATTAATCGTTGTACTTAACTTTAATCGTTCATTATTATTATTAATTTTGCCTAAACAGTAGGACACGTCATTCCTAAACTTTGTCACACCAGTTTTTTATATATATAATTTTTATTTTATAGTCATAATTTTTATATTATTTGCATTTTTAGGGTTCCGTACCTCAAAAGGAAAAACGGAACCCTTATAGGATCACTTTGTTGTCCGTCTGTCCGTCCGTCCGTCCGTCTGTCAAGACCCTTTTTCTCAGGAACGCGTGGAGGTATGAAGCTGAAATTTATATCAATTACTCAGGTCTACTGTCCCTTGAAGCTGTGAAAAAATCAAACTTCTAAGCCAACGCAATCAAAAGATACAGCCGTTTATGCCGCAAATTTTCGACACTTGCAAGGGAATCAAAACCTACAGGGTGCTTCCCGTGAACTCAGAATCTTGAAATTTGGTACCAAGCAACGTCTTATAGCATAGATAAAGGAAAAATTACGAAAACCATAAATTTTTAGTTACATCACATAATATATTTTTTTTAATAATTTTAACCTTACTACCCATTTCCTCATAAACGCGTAGAGGTATTAAATTGAAATTCATACCAAATACTCAGGTCTATAATACCTTTAAGCTGTAACAAAATCAAACTTCTATGTCAACGCAATCAAAAGAAACAGCAATTTAAGCTGCATATTTTGAAACTCGCAAGTACTCGCAAGGGAATCAAAACCTAAAGGGTACTTCCAGTCGACCTAGAATCTTGAAATTTGGCATGAAGCAACGTTTTATAGCTCACATAAAGGAAAAATTCCGAAAACCTTAAATTTTTAGTTACATTACAAAATATATATTTTTTAATAAATATAAACTTATTACTTTTTTCCTCATGAACGCGTAGAGCTATCAAGTTGAAATTCATATCAAATACTTAGATCTAATTGCCTTTAACCCGTGAAAAAAAATGGTTGCCTGTAAAGTCGGTTTTACGGGCGAAGATTTTACGTGACAACGTCTTTTTCTCGGTAGAATATTTATTGATATGAATATAATTAAATTGCACAATAGGAACAAGGAAGCCCAGCTTGTGAAGGGCGCTACACGTGTACCCGATATTGATAGCCACACACCAAACTGCCTGGACCTTCTGCTGTCAACAGACCCGGACCGTTACCAGGTGGTAATTTCGTCTCCTCTAGGGAGTTCCGACCACTGTCTGGTGAAGTCCGTATCAGTCTACTCTCCAAGCGACCCGGAACCTATCGGAACTAGGCGTGTTTGGCGATATGGTTCAGCAGACTGGGATGAGATGCGGCATTTCTTTGCATCTTATCCTTGGCGTCGCACCTGCTTTTCTTCGGACGACCCGACTTGCTGCGCGGATGCCATTGCTGACGTGGTGCGTCAGGCTATGGAGTACTTTATTCCATATTCTGACGTACCACGCCGGTTTAGCGCCCGCCCTTGGTTTGATGCGGACTGTGCTGAAGCGGAGGCGCTTAAGCATTTTGCGTATCGCTCCTGGGCGGATGCTCGAGCCCGCAAATCACCAAATGTTCGAAGTCTGAAGAAGGCCTTTAACAGTGCCGCCAAGTCCTGTAAAGGTGTTCTCCGCAAGGCCCGCTTCGATCACATTGGCCGTATAGGAGCCAAATTAGCCTCCTTTCCATCCGGAAGCAAGGCTTTCTGGTCCCTAGCCAAAACAGTCGAAGCCAATTTTTGCCGGTCGTCGCTGCCGCCTTTAATTAAACCTGACGGATCGCTGGCTCACACCTCCAAAGAGAAGGCTGACTTGTTTGCCTCTATATTTGCGAATAACTCACAGCTAGATGCTGCTGGCGTAAACCCACCTAAGCTTCCTCAGTGTTCTTCTGCCATGTTGGAAGTTCGCATCCATCAGAAAGAGGTACTAAAAACGCTAAGCACTCTAGACGTGAATAAAGCCAGTGGGCCCGATGGCATTCCAGCTATTGTCCTGCGGAATTGTGCCCCTGAGTTGTCTCCTATTCTGACTCGCCTATATCGCTTATCCCTTGAGATTGGCCAAGTTCCGAAAACCTGGAAGCTTGCCAATGTCCAACCAGTGCCCAAAAAGGGTAGTCGTGCCGACCCTGCCAACTATCGACCTATTGCAATCACCTCCATACTCTGTAAGATTATGGAGCGTGTATTGAACAACCGTCTCCTCGCTTACCTCGAAGATAACGATCTCCTCAGTGACTGCCAATTCGGTTTCCGCCGTGGGCGATCTACTGGGGATCTTCTTGTGTATGCTACCCACTTATGGAGTGAAGCCATAGAGAAACGCGGCGAAGCTCTCGCCGTTTCTCTTGATATTTCTAAGGCTTTTGACAGGGTCTGGCATGCAAGTCTCATTGGCAAGCTTCCTTCATATGGAATCGCTGTCGGACTTTGCAACTGGATTGCAGATTTTCTGAGGGGCAGATCGATACGAGTGGTCATTAATGGCACATCGTCGGATCTGCTTGGTATTAATGCCGGTGTCCCCCAGGGATCTGTCCTCTCCGCAACTCTATTCTTGCTGCACATCAATGATCTGCTCCTAACTCCTGGTATCTTTGGGTATGCAGATGACAGCACAGTTTCGGGGAGATATCTGCCTGATGTAAAGTCTAATGCAGATGTCCGATCATTAAGGGAGGCGATGGTGGAGGGAGTGAATGCAACCCTGGAAGCTGTTTCCCTCTGGGGTGAAGCCAACTTGGTTGGATTCAATCCCTCTAAAACACAGGCCTGTCTCTTCTCGACGAAACGGAGTCCATTCCATCTGACTCCGACTTTCCGAAATGTCTCCGTGCCGGTTAAAGACCATCTCGAGCTCTTGGGTATGGACATCTCATCCAGCCTCAATTTCGGTCCCTACATCGAGTCCATTGCTAAAACCGCTGCCAGAAAACTTGGAATACTTTCTAAGGTCAGGCGATATTTTACATCTGAGCAGCTCCTTAACCTTTACCGAGCCCAAGTTCGCTCCTGCTTGGAGTACTGTTGTCACCTTTGGGACGGATCTGCTCGGTATCAGCTGGATGCACTGGACTCGGTGGAACACCGTGCGAAGAGACTCATAGGCAATGACGCTCTCGTTGAGGCTAATCTTCAGAGCCTCGACCACCGAAGACGTGTAGCTTGCCTTTCGGTGTTTTATAGGTTACATTTCGGAGAGTGTGCGGAGGTATTACATAATTTGATCCCCCCTTCCCCTTTCCACCACCGGACGACCAGGCGCGGCGAGGGCTTCCACCCTTATGTTGTCGAAGTTCCTCCTATTCGCACGAAGCGATTTGCTTCGGCCTTCATTATACGAACGGCTAGGGAGTGGAACTCCTTGCCGAGGTCTGTTTTCCCGGACCAATATAACCTGGACATCTTCAAGGCCAGAGTGAACAGGCATCTTCTAGGCAGGCGTGTACCATCCTAGGCCTCATCATCGCTTTCCATCAGGTGAGATTGTGGTCAAACGCATTGCCTATTTAGCATAAAAAAAAAAAAAAAAAAAAAAAAGGAATTGAATGAAAATAAGAATTGCACAAATTTTAACTATAGAAATATATTTTGTTTACTAAAACATTGTATGTAAACTTAAACTTAACACGAGAGACTCATCGTAACGTTACCGAGCGTTACACTTTTTCATAAGTGACTCCCAGCCGCAACCTAATTTAAGACGTTGTCACGTCAAAAAAAATTCTAAGTCAACGCAAAAACGCAAAAGTACAACCATTGATACCGCATATTTTGAAACTCGCAACTACACGCAAGGGAATTAAAACCTAAAGACCACTTCCCGTTGACATAGAATCTCGAAATTTGGTAAGAAGCAATAGCTTACAGCACAGGTAACAGAAAAATTCCGAAAAGCTTAAAATTTTAAGTAGTTATACCACCAAAAAAATTGTGATTGTAAACATAATTGTAGTTACAGCAATGACCGCGAGTTATTATACTATGTATGGGGAGGGCAACATTTTTCAAACGGCAAAGACGACCTCACTCATCGTCATTCAATCCCGATGTTTTGGTGAATGTAGCTGTATAATCTAAATGCGTCCTAACTGCTTAAAGTGTTAATGTTGCAATAGAATGTATAAATACAACAATATTCGGCAGCAACCTCAATATGTACACTTCATCTTCTCGTCTGATTGTTGTGGGAGACTTCAATATAGATTTTAGAATGAATCCCCAAAATGGAATTTCCACATATTTTTCATCCATAAACATGTTTCCGTTAATAAACAGTAGCACTACACGAAGTTGTACAACTATTGATAACGTTTTTTCGAACTTCAATGTTCAATGTGGTACTATTCATAACTTTTTCAGTCACCATTTACAGGTCTGGTTCAAATTTAATACTTAATTAATATTTTTGAACCAGATTTTTTTTTATTTGTAATGGAAAGGGACTTTATGAGTTACCTCATATTGAAGTCATTTTTCAATTTGACGACTCCGTATATAAAACGGGGAGAAAAAGCAGCCCTTGCTGAGTTTCTTGCCGGTTCTTCTCAGTACAAGGTCTCCCGCCGTAGATTTGCGAACCGATGGCGTAGCTTTTCGACATTCACAAGTGCTTGTAACAGCCTAGACTGAATAAACGATATTGAATTTTGATTTTTTTGACCTTTTTTCTCAAAAATCACGGTTTTTCGTAAATGTTATTTACGTAGTCGCCATTTTGTTATCAGGAAAGGACAACAATACAGCTCAGCCGTGCGGACTCGGAAG